ACGATCAAGTATCCTCCGGTGGTTGTCGCATCTGAATGCCATAACCGGCAAGACTTCGTTTCTAAGACGCCCGTTGAAATGACTTACTTCAACAATAACCACCGCTTCCAATAGTAATTCAGACAGACTGGAAGAAAAGACCAATATTTGTGACGAGCCCTCTTGCATCAGCCCGGTGCGCCCGCCAACTTCACAGAGAGCTTATATTACTAACTAGACCAAGAGCGAGAAGCCTTGCTATATACATGTACTGAGAGGTGCTGCTTATAGGAGCGTGGATCTATGGCTGTTACCCAGTCTATGTGGCAATCTCTCCCCCGTGGAAAGAAAACGTAATGACGCCTTCGTCGTTCACGTTGCTCTAAGTTTTGAAATCGGTTTGCGAAGTAAAACATCTCCCATATAGACTACGGGAACCCACGACTAAGTCCTGCACCTAAAGGTTCGCTTTCGCTAAAAGGTGTCTTCCGCGTCCTACTCGAGTGGAATATTGTAAGAATGGTTGGCATGGAAGCGTGACGTCCGCGTGAGATAGAGCGATCTGTAAAACGTGCTGGTTAATGCTGTGAACTCGCACCCCTCGCTATCGAGTGGCAAGCCCGGTAGCACTCGTCTCGTGCGGCGTTCGATTGTACCAGTTTGCTCACAAAGACAGGAACCCACGAATAGATGAAAGCTGAGGGAACCAAAGCGTTGAGTGTTGGTTCAGAGTTTGTATGGGAGCTTTGAGATATCTACCGGTTCTGCCAAATTATGTCAACAAGGCAATGGGGCCGACTTAGATGTACCTAGCAGTCAGAACCACCAGCTTCAGCCTTGCTGTTCAGAACACGATCAATTCTCTCCTCTGGAGGAGCTCTGTACTTTTATTCTTCCATCAGAACCGACGATCAAGATAACACCAAGGTCTTTGGGGAGATGCTCATTGATGAGAGCTGTCAGGTCAATGATAATATTTCTGCGGTAGTTGGGTGAAATAACCGTCTGGCAAGCCTACATAGCAGAGTTATGGCTTAAGCTTTGATGTCAAGTACTGGAGTGAACAGCTTGCAAGGACATGCTGAGATTGTTGCAGTGTGAGTAAGGTAATCTGCGCTTCTTCGTATGTTCTTCTCGAGCGCAATTGCTTCAGGTGTGTACGTTGCCGTGGCTGGGATCACCAAGATGAAGGAGAGACTCTTGGAATTTTGTTTGGACCTTTTTGTAAGTCACTAAATGGTTGGTACTGTTTACTGCATGTAATTGATTTGCCGGTACTAGACAACTCCGGCTTTCTGCCACATTGTAAGGCGCGCAGTCTTTGCACTATCTCGCGGGTCTGATTACATGAACTGCAAGACACGCATACCTTTATCTCTGGGGTGTTTGCATATCTGAACTGCCTATAATCCAAACAACATGCTCCGAGTGTGGGAACTTCTGGCACCTCATCATGAGCGAGCGATTCGACGATGTCATGTTTCACTACAGGACAGCGTCTTATGACCTGCTGTAAGTCTGCGGTAGTCTAAATATCTAAATTAAGCGAGTGCTTGACTACTTCTATCCTCAGTCCTCATATCTCTCAAGATTGCGTTTCCCTTGCAGTGAGTTTGCATTACCACACGATGGTAACCCTGCTTACCTGAGTACCTCCCTGATGGCATGTCCAAGAAGCCTAACATCCCAGAGACAGTTTGGAATTAAAGATGGAGATCTGATTCAAAAACCTCGAGGTTTCTACCAGCGCATCGAAATTAAGATGATTATCAGATAGATATCGCCGAGAAAAAAAACACGATTGAAAGAAGCATTATTTGAATCATCCGACCGCCAAACGTACCGTCAGATCCATTTACACTAATGTGATGCCCACAAGCTGCGGTCGCTGATCAACGCACCAGCGACACCTGAAGGGAGTGAAATTGGTTGATGCTTCTAGTATCATACAATACAAGTAAGAACTTAGGTAGAATATGATCTGCGTCTGCAAATTGCAAGCCAAGGCCACTGTGTGGTGAACTACGGGACATGGAGAGCGCTGTGTTATCATCGATCATGGAAATTATGCCGTTGGGGGCCACAGTGACTTCTATACCTCCCTCCTTTCAGGCCTCATTTCTTAAGGACGCAAAGAGGTTGGCAAGCAGAAGGCATTTGATATACTCAAGAAAGCCATCTTTTCCCTGCGAAGTCAAAGGCAGTTAAAGTGTTGTTACAACATCCGTTCATGGCCAATTTCGCGTCAATCTAAACATCATTCTCAACCAAGACCAGCATCTGGAGACTAAGTTTGCAATACGTGATAGATTCGGGAGTCAATACGGGAAGCAGTTAATGGCAGCTACAATCTACATACCTGAAAAGCGCGGGTGTAGGAAGACTTACACATCGGGACTAGGTAAAGGAAGTGAATACAACCCGGTCAGTTCGCTTCACTTTGAACAAATGCGAAACGGCATGGACACAATCTGGAGCGAGTCTTGTTCAGATTTGCCATACTGAGAATCAGGAGCGAATGCAGAAAGAACTTGACGCCAGAGAGTCGTCTACTTGTTCCGTAATAGCGGCTTTCGTAATTTGACGCGATTCGTCTCCAGGTCGCACACGTAGCGAGTATATATGACACTATCTTGTAGATGGTATCCAATTTGAGAGAGAGGAGACCACTGCGAGAGCACTAAACGTAGGGAGGTGAATTCCTGGTGGGTCAGATTTTGGCCCATGACCCCTTCATGAAAAGATTTAGCTACCCATTCGCTGCTTGTGACTTCTATCGCTGTAGTAATACTTTCCCTAATGAAGACTATGCCGATCTGATAAGAAAGGGACCAGTTGCGAGGGAGGGAAGGAAGGGCTCTGCGGCAGTGAAGATGTTAGTAAGCACTGAAGGAGAAGGTAAAGCGCAGATTGCATGCACTACTGTAGTCGACTGGATCCCACCCTAACTGCCATTGACGAAATGGGAGATATCAATTTATATCAAGCGGGTCTTAGAGGTTGAACATAGAGGGGGGCGCGATGGACTACAAGCAAGGAACTTGAGGATCAGAGTGGGAGAGCAGTGTGGACGAAGTTCACTCCATCGAGTCGAGTGGAAATATTTGCATATGTTTTGCCGAGTTGAAATGACCGAAAGTCACCAATTTCGTGAACCACGCATGAATTTTCGTGCAGCTTCCATGACCAGCATTGATAGGAAGGATTTGAAGGGTTGAGAACCGAAGACGTCACGCTACACAGTGGGTAGAGGGGATGCTCCCAGACGGTGGAATGTGAGTTGGGCAAAGTATACCGAAAACGGCAATTTCATGACGATGAGTGTCTGCGAGTGCACCATCCGACCATGGCTGTTTGCGGTAAAGAGCTCGCGTACAGCTACAACTAGGTATGTCCAGGGTGCGAAAACTGCAGCATCTGCAAGACCATGTGCTGTGCTGTGATAGGCAAATCTGTGTTGTGGCAACTTGCCCAGAGTGAATATGGATCGGCCTTCTGCCTCCTTACGAATGCTCACGAGATAGAAATCCATAGGTATGCCAAGCTGGGAGTAGGGGCAGCTGCAGGAGATTAAGATACGTCGAGTAAGCCACCTGGGTGTGTATAAGGTAGACAGTAAGAATTTGTGATTATAGAGTTCAAAGTGCTCAAGCGCGTGAAGAAATGGTTCTGCGATTCATTTTTGATTTTGGGCAGTGCATCATCCGATGATGCGACGATCTGGGTGTGGATTCTCAACGAGATAAGCAAATAAGGTAAGGTGAAAATACAATGAAGTGCGCGGGGAAAACGAGAAACCGTTCTGTCCGCCCAGACGGGCATTTTGCGGGGGCCAATTGCGACTGCATCGGAACGGGGTTTTGTACATTGCAGCAGTGCCAGGCCGGGCGCCGACGCAGTTCTTTCCGACCCGGATTTGCTTCCAGAAGGCAGGAAGGGCGGCGCCGGTGGGGGAAGGTTGCAACCACGCTCCGGTTGTAGAAGGGGCATCGTTGAACAAAAGAAGACTTTGGAAGGAAGGAAGGATGGCATCGCACATGTACCTCTGCTCATGGCAGTTGCTCCTCCCTTGGGAGCCTGCATACCTTACCTAGAATCAACCCTCTTCTTCTCTGCACCTCCCAAGGCAATCGCGATACTTCGTTGTGGCACTTTCCACCCGTTGCATCGTCCAAGTCACCTATGCCGTATGGTTGGCAGTATATCCATCATTCGTGCGTCAATACATGATGCACCTCCACACCTTCGATCTCAATGTCATTCATGCAGACTAACTACCGTCTCCGATACCTCAATCAATATCAGCGCCTCAGTGAGCCCTTACCCATGGAAATCGCAAAGTGTATCCGGAGCTAACGTTGGTATAGACCAAAATATTCGAGAACGCCGCGGAGAATGACACCAAGGTGCTTAGCCGATTCAGCCCCAAAGAACGATCCTTTGGGAAGCACGCACGGCACGTTAGTCGATGCGAGGGAGATGGTTCCTTACCACGCTGTCGGAACCATTCCAATCGAAGCACGTTGTCTTAATTGAGAAATCGCCTACGCCGATGAGAGATGGAAATCTCCGGAGATATCGCCCCAGAGCCCAGGAAAGAGGGAGAAGAATGATGGTTTCACATCTTGGACACGCTTCTGCAAGCCTCGCCCGTCTCGTGTGCTCACACTGCAAGGTAGCCATGGGCCCAGCAGATTCCAGCCCAGCCCAGCCCAGCCCAAAGACGTTCGGCCGAGCCGTGGCCTCTCAAGGTCCAGCCACACCTCCGGCACTCGCCCTACGGTGAGCTTGTGCATCTTATGCGTGGCAGACAGCCACCAACCCAGGGTCATAGTGACAGTGACAGGGCAGGCAGCAAACGCCGCCGCTAAATCGCAAAAGCATGTCTCGGGGCCTCTTGCTTTTCTGATCCAACGGACCCACGCTAGCGAGCGGTGGCGCCACTGGCTTTGGAGGCTTGCAAAACATTGATCCAGCTCCAGGATGAATGCCATGCTTCTTCTCTGCATGAAGCTCTGCAAGAAAGATCTGCGAGACGACTGCTTGACTGCGAGGTGTCTGTGCCACGCACATGGGGCCATCTATTCGTACGTCTGAACTCTGAACCTCATCAAACGAGCGTTGAATAGCGTTGCACACCAGCGCTTCGTCACATCGCACACACACAGAGTCTTGAGCGCTTTCCCCTCTGACCATGACACTGACATTCTCTGGCTGCGTCCAGTCGAATGCTGTGCTCGCCTGCCTCAAACACTCACTGGCTTCTCCTAAGATTACGAGCCGCAGCTCTGACAGCTCCCTACCGTCAGTGCGCTGCTGTCACCCCAAACTCCTCAACTAATAGACCAGATAAATCCTTTCTATCGGACATTTGTAGCAGGAAAAGGTCAAGCGCAACGGACAGCGATATGTCCCGCGAGAGAGGGTTCATCATTATCGAAGCACCATTTGCCATGCACGTCAATTCATGGCGCAGGACAGACGAGTCCCTACAATGCAATAGGGAAACAGGCTACTCTGCTGTTGTCTTCTTTTGACCCGCCCACGTACTTCCCTCGGAATTTTGGGTTGAGCTTGCAATAGATTCGGCCGGCATGAACTATTATTTCCGTCTCTCTCTCGCGTGCTGCACCAGGGTGTTATATAAGCCGGCGGCGCCGTTCTGGTTGCCTTTAGACGCATGCCTCGCACATGGTCATATTGACCCCCGTGCTGTCCCATCAAAGACGTTTTGGGCCTGGGCCTGGTCCTGTCTGATCTGCTGGAACGGGACATTAGGGTCTCGCCTTCTTCAGAGGATCAGGAACAAAGGTGAGTCAATCTTGGTTCGCCCACCCCCTTGAACACGACTTTGGGCCCCTCTCGAATTCTCCCAATCCGACCTGATCCAGATGACATGACGGGGGCCCGGATTTCCCATGGCTCCCGTCTTGAAGGAAACCCCCCCTTGCCCTACAATGCGGTCCTGGCTTTAAGCTGAATCCTACGTGGCCCACTCCCCCCCCCCCTCCTCTCAGAGTCCCCCTGGTCTGCATCCTCGACCCTCTCTTAGTCCCCGCTTCGCATCGCATCTTCGTTGCGCGACTCGACTCGCCTCGAGCTTGTTGACCACCTTGACCTTGCCTTTGCCTCCAGCTCCAGCTCGACTTTGACTCCACGACCCTGTTTCCCTGAAGGGCTCCAGTCCAAGTCGCTCGCTCACCCCAGTCCCCCGACTCTCCCCCGTCCCCTTCACCTGGCCTGACTTACGTTGGGCGTAACAAGCGCGCGTCCTTCGTACTTTGCCCATTTTTTGATGAGTCTCTTGGACTGGTCGCCTGTCCCATATCCGATCAAAGTCTCGCCCTTCCCTCCCTCGCCCGCCCAGGCTTCTCTCTATCCTTTTCCTCATCTTCGTCCGGCCTTGCTCTACTTGTCTCTCGCCTCCACGTCCAAGTTCGTCCGTCCACCCGTCCCCCCGCCATCGCCGATATCCGTCTACCGCAACGGCGGTCCCCTCCATCTCCTTCCCATACTATCCCACCGGTCTTGTCCTGCCCAGCCGTCCAGTCTTGTCCAGCCCTATCCTTTCCTGCTCACCCGCAGCGAGCCCACCCGGCACGACATAACACAAGTTGAGATCTACTGCTTCCCAGGTCACATCTCATTATCACGTACCTCGAGGTGTTGCCCTTTAAAGTAACCACCCCCCATACCCGACAGCCCAAGCTTCCCCACTTGCGGTTATCCTCGCCGCCCACCACCGCCCAGCGAGCTTGCTTGTCTGTCGTCGGAACATGTCAGAAAAGCTTGCTTGAAGAACCGACCCTTACTAGCTTCCCGCCCCCCGGGGCAGAGCACGGAACCGTCTCTGCGGCAGTGGCTTCCGCACCCTCATCTCCTACCCGCTGCCCTCGTCCGTCACTCCCGTCAACTTACTGCAGCGAGAAGGGAAGCATGAGCATGCCTATGCCTATGCCTATGCCTATTCGTACTTGCTGTCTGCTGCTATCCGCCTCCCTACAGTTCACCTTCCGGAACAGCTTGTACACTTAAGGCTACCTGTAGAGTGTAGACCCTCGAAAACAGCTCCCGCCCAATTCCGCCCTCCTCCGCCATCCCCGCCGCTGCGACATTTTTGGTCTTGGTGCGGCCGCTGCTGCTCCGATCTCCAACTCCACATCCTTTTCTCGTCGGGTAACGGGCATCATCCAGGGTCCATGGACTGTCGGCTGATGCATCACCATCCTCGACAATGACCCGACCCAAGGTCCCAGAGGACAAGCGCCAACGGACTGCACAGGCCTGTGACACGTGTAAGCGTCGGAAGCAGAAGGTAAGCATCCTGTTCTCCCCATCCCCCACGTACCTTGTGTGCCCTACTCTTGTTTCTTTCTCGTGGCAGAGCCCAACTCCAAGCCTAGCCGTTCAGTGCTATCGTCAATGTTCGTTGTCGGTTCTTCCCATCTTGTCCTGCTCGTCCGTCACATTTTACCCCAGCTGGCATCCTATCAGTGCTGTCTGTACCGGCATACAGCCCCCCCTCTGTGGCGTTGCCAAAACGTCTTGCCAGGCTCCCCACCATTTCCTTGCGCCGGTCTTGGCTAGTTGCCAGAAAGGCCAAGTAAATTCCCATCCCAATTACCATGAATGGGAGTTCAGTCTGCCCATCATTCAATACCTAACTCATGTATCGGGAACTATCTCTTGTTGGGTAATTCCCCGATCCGATATGGCGACGAGTCTTCTAGCCGCGTTGATCGTGGCCTCACAATTCGACCAAAAATACACTTTAATCGTGCTTACCCATGGAAGCTCCTCTGTCTGCCTTGATTGTCAATGTTACGTTGCCAACCAAGTCCGGTCCATCCAAGTGGGTGGTGGGCATGCATGCGGATACATCATTCTCCAGCTGTTTTCCGAGGTGCTTCTCGCAGCACATTTCGCATTTATTGCTGAATTTGTTGGACCCTTAAACGGGGCATCTCCTCGAGCACCCAGGGTGCCCCTCGTCAGAGCATGTCTTTGTGGGCAACCCGACGATCTGGTCACAGACTTCCCAGGATCATTGGTTCATCCCATGAAGCGCCCCAGTATCGATCTACAACGGGTTACCGCCTTGCCGGTCTCGTGTACACCGCATCCCGGCCTATCTGAATGACCTCAAGCTCGGCAAGTGCTAGCTCTTTTGCAATTTTCCGAGACCTTGTCCCGTCCCCGTCCCGCATCACGTTAGTCGCCAAGTCACCTCCAGTCGCTGACCGATACTTGACAGTGCAACGGTGCTCGCCCTTGCGGCACTTGTACCAAGAGGAGCCTTCAGTGTACATACACGACAAGCAATGGCTCCGAGCAGACCACCCCGGACCAATTAGCTTCTCCTTCTAAGCGTCGCAATATTGAAGAACTACCGACGGTGAAGCCAAACGCCCCAGATGGCTCACTCACATCTGAGAGCCCCGCGGCGGCCACGACCCCATGGGACTCAAGACCGCACCAACCAGTCACCGATGCGAAACCAGCAGCCGGGTTTGATATAAAGCCATCCATCGAACAGGACCATGAAATGCTGGGGGTAGACCGCGAGTTCGATATCCGCTCCAGACACAGCACCGTCTCAGGACCTGATGAAGAGACCTCGCTCATGCAATCTACCAGAATGTTGCAGGATCCTACAGGCAGACTCCGTACGTACACAATGCCAGAGCGTTCATTGCCTTTTTCTTATGGCTAACCACACAAACAGTCTACGTTGGCGACTCAGCCTCATTGGCTTATCTACAGCTCATACGAATGATTGTAGAGGCGAGCGTTGGGCCCAGCGACTTTACCATGGATCCTAGCCGCCATAAGATAATGGAGGCCACCAGTGCTATTCCGAATAACATTCGGCCTCCACATATTCTACCCGACAGGGATACAGCTAACGCACTGCTGGACTCCTTCTTTACGAATGTACGTGATCCCCCCTTGACTACTTGGTCCGATGCTCATAATGTGTGATCGCTAATTTGCTAAAGACCCACGGCTTGATCGAGGTCTTCAACAGAGCAGCGTTTGAAAAGTCCGTGGAAGCTTGCTACACAGACCCATTGGCAACACAGTCTTCTTTCCTCTGCTTGTTGCATTTAACCTTTGCTATCGGCACCGTCTTGGGCACGCCACTTCCCGGCAGTAAGGAAGACGTGATCTTCAAAAAGCTTCGAGCAAGTCAATATGACCGCGCGGAGCTATTCTTCAGGAGTGCCAAAGCTCTTGGTGACCCTGTTTCCGGATTTGAAGACGCGGACTTTTGGTCTGTGCAGGCATTATCATTGATGGCTGTCTATATGCTAGCGATATCAAAACGTAACGCAGCATACGCTTACTTTGGTGAGTCCACAAGTGGTCTATTCTATGCAGGATACCTATGATAGCTAACGCTTTGGTGTTTAGGAATGGCGGTCCGTTCTGGCTTTGCGCTTGGCTTACACAGGGTCCACGAGAACCACTTTATTTTCAATGGCGAGGAGATTCGGCTCCGCCGCAACCTCTGGAGAAGTCTGTTCGTTCTCGATCGATTTCTTGCAGCTTCATTAGGCCGGCCGGTCGCGATTGACGAAGAGGAGTGCTCCGTAGACGCACTTTTGGTATTCGAAAAGAACGATCAAGGGGAATTGATTCGCGTTACAGATCCCAATGATGGGCTCGACGCCGCCGTGCGATCCTGTCGAATCGTTGGGCAGATTCTCAAAAAGATTTACGCCCGCCGGCGAATTTCAGTCCGCCTCGCTCAAGAGATCTGGGAGCAGTGCAACGCCTGGTACACTACTCTAAGCCCCGAATTGGCGGGTGGCCGGGTGGCCGCCGATCCCAACAGCCCCGCGCAGGGCATCGCGGCTCTTCATGTCAACCTCTTATACTGCCACTCCATTCTCTTACTGACTCGTCCATTTTTCCTCTGCCTTTTGAGCAAAGTTCACGGCGAGCGAAGTGGTCTCGCTCTCCCGGTCCCCCGCTGGATCAACCGCATGTCCAAGTACTGTGAAGCATGCTTGCACGCTTCTAACCAGACCATCATCTACGTGCAGAAGGCATTTGAGAGCAACTACCTCCCTCAACGAAACCCTTTTGTCCTGTATGTAAATATTGCATCGATCTACTGGAAGCTTTGTGCTAACATTTCGCGCAGCTACTTTCTCTTCGCCGCCTCGCTCGTTATCTTGAGCAACGAATTCGCATCTATATACCCAAACCCGACTTACGCCGCCTCAATATCCAATACCATCGCTATTATGCGCTATTGTGCCACCAGCGATCCGCAGGCTACCCGACTTCTCTTCATCCTCACGTCTTTCCGCAACGTCGTCTACGAGTTGCAACAGAAGAAGACCGAGCAGCCAGCCATGCCCGCGCCTCAGACGCTATCCCCAACATCCCTTAACGATCCCATAGGCACCATATTCAAGTCTTCACGCAAGAATTCACTGGCTGCTACAGTGTCAGGCATGGCAGGAAACAAAGCCAAGCCAATGGCACCGCCGCCGCTTTCCATGAAGACGGACCATACGTTTCCCACGTCTACAGGCCCGTCAGCCGGCGCCTCGCCGGCGGGTAGTACCCCCAGCATGTCACAGGGTGACCAAAGTGCGCGCATGG